GGATTACCATCTCTTCCGATCGATGCAACACGCACTTACGGACACACACTTCTCCAGTTACAACAAAGTCCAAAAATGGATGGATGAATGGATCGCCTACGAAAGACACCGCGTTCTACCGTCGTGGGATTGCCCTGTTGCCGGAGAGATGGGAAAAAGTAGTGGAAAATGGAGGAAATTACTTTGATTAAGATATTCATTCATCTTTCCTTCGAAACAAATCGATTTTTGAGACGAAAAAACGATAGAAATTAAGTTTAACACCTAATATTAAAAAATTGAGATTTTTATCATTTATTTCATAATACATTTACATATATCTTTATTATTTAGCACAGATTAAAAACATACTACTATTTATTAAAATATAACTTATGATCCAAATAGTAAACCGTTACCAAATTTGTATTATAAACGCGGTTTGGAATAAGCTGTAATTTTTTCGTAATTTTGTTATCGGTTTGAAAATATGTATAAAATATCCTTAACTTCACGTTCCATCCGTCAAGTAAAACTTATGTTATTCTTAAAGTTCTTAAAAAGATCATAATAATAACCTTCTACAAGAGTGAAATATTTTGATTTATGTTGTCTTTGCAAATAACAAGGAGAGTATTTTAAAGAAAGAGAATTTAGAGTTAAGACAGTTTTGATCGAGTTGAAGAAGAAATTGTTTTATTTTAAATTTATAATCATTTTAGCTGATCAAGGTCAAAACATAAACTATTGGTGATATTTGGAATAATGTCATTTTTGATAAGTGTTGTTCCAAATTTGTTATAATTTTGTTTCAAAGATATTAAAATTGTAAGTCAAAAAGGGTGGTTTTTTAAGGGTCGTGAAACGAAAATGATAGAAATGACATTTGATTATGTTTCTAGGAGTATATATGTATATTTTCTTTTTGTCGATACATTTGATACTAGTCAATAATATTCTATTAAACAGTTTTCCCCTATTCTGAAAAATTTAATGTTTTTCTGTTACTTTTGAAGTGAGCGAACAATTTTATGTTTCTTTTTATTGATTTATTCTCAGAGCCTTTCACATTTAATTATTGTTCTTCCATTTTTATTTTTGTTCATAGTAGATGTACGTATACATATATTTTTCATGTTTGAGTACGTGTTTTGAAGCTAGCGCTTATATCTCATCGATCGGTTAACATTCTGGGCGACGTTTACATGGCAGGTCACAAACATCGTACACAGGCCGATGCATATTCATTTTTGTCGTGGGTATTGCTGAGTAATTTTAAGGGGAAAATCTCGCTGACCCTGCTCGGTGGAAAGCAGGGGCGTTGTCGCCGCCAAGATAAACAAGATAATTAAAAGATAATTAACAGATAGAAGAGCGTCGTACGTGACTATGCCGCGCCGGTTCCAGATAATCTCAATCCTCTTTCGCTGGAAGTGGCATAGGACGATAAAACCGTTGAGAAGAGGTAGAGGGGAAATAAAGAGGGTTGGCAACGAGGCAGCGAAATGGGAAGAAAGGAAGGGGAAGACGAAGGAAGGAAGAAAGGGCTTGCCAAGCCCCTACGGCGATTTGTGCCTGCTTCCCGCAATAAAACCACCAAGCTACAATCACGGGTATAGCTACCGGTATCAACCACCGAGATCGAAATAATCCGTCGGGTTACTTCGCCAGTCGGTCGACTTGTGGTTCCCACAGAATCCCAAGGTACTTGCTTAAAATATTTTAAAAATATAAGAAGCATCAAATATTTGTAAGTAAAGATATAGAAAAATCTTAAGATATAGATTCAAGATTGAGAAATTCATTAGAGAATTGTAAACTGCGGTACATGAGAAAATGCTGAACAACTCTGAAGATTATTGGAAATTAGGGAAATTATTTAATTAATTGCTGAGATTTCCGGGGATGATGAGACAATCGAAAAAGGATCGAGTTGATTTCCAGAGCTCGGAAAGGAGCAGAAATTAATTATAAATTAAAAATTAAAGAACCTCTTCCCTACGAAATTAGAAATTCATCAGCGTAGAAATAACATGTGCAAAGACCTGAAGATTTATGGGAGTTAGGGAATAAATAAATTCTAGGTTTCCGCGACTATAGTTTATCTTTCCAGAGACGTTATTTATTTCTGCCATCATTTACCATCTTTATCTACCGGGCGGTTACGACGTATTGATTCGCCGAGGCACGGGCAGTTATTCCTTCATAAAAGCGCGCGCTCGGTACGGTATACAGATAACTCCGTGTTACGATTTTACACCGAGTCATAAACTTAAGGAACTTCAAAGCGATAACTGCCGGATATTCGCGATTTGTAGCTTCGAACAAACAGTTAAACTCCGAGAAACATTCAAACTTGCGAGATCGTTTGCATTTCCAGAAATCATGTATTCCTGATTGTTTATCGGAAAGTATAAGTATTCCAGCATTCAAGGATTAGAGCAAAATTAAAGAGATCTAGCAGGATATAAATTATTTTTGATTCGCAAATAGGAATCCTGGAAATTTATTTAAATCATGATGCAAGAAATTCCAATTTTTGAAAGAGGTAGAACTATTAGTCCTTCAATTAGTTCTATAGAATGCTATCGATACATAAAGTGAAGTTTTATGTATCGAGCGAACAAGGTGATTAAGCGCTAAATTATGTGGTCATTAAGAGATTCATTATATATTAGTTTAGATTTTCTTGTGGTCAGAGAGCATGATAAATAATTTCAATTTTTAAGCAGTTTTGTGTTATTATATATTTTATTTAAGTGTTGTAAAAAGAGACTACACATAATTGGACTACATATTCCATATTATTTTAAGATTGAATTTCATCGTGTGTTTACACTTTCTTTCCTTTTAAGTTAATATAGAGGAGACCGGGGATAGTTTTTCCTTCTCCGGCCATAATCCTCCGAAAGGATGTGGTGACTTCTATCATATGCCCTGTGGTGCGCACGCTGATTGTACACAGTCGTAAGGGATTTATAGTTTAACGTAGATTCCGAATGACGATTTTGTTTATAGAAGTGCAAGGACACTTTCGGTGGTTTGCCATTGTCCGCCGAGAGGAGCTACGAGCGTACGAAAATTTTTTGATTCTGCCTGGGATCGAACCTGGGATCTCTGGCATAACAGTCTCGTACATACGCTGTCAGCTACGCCACGCTCGCGCTCAATATATGGGGATAGTTGATACAGTTTCTTTTTAGAAATTTTTTGCTCGTAACTAATAAATAGAATATAAACCGTAAGGTCCTTTTGCAATAGCCACATGCTTACGCTACAAAAATTATTTTTATAATTTAATAATATGTTTACTTTCTAGTATTAATAAAATATATAAGATTGTGCACCTTGTAACAACTAACCCCATATACGGGGTTACAGTTACTGGGGTCACTTGTTATTATATGTGTCCAGATTTCAAAATATTACACATTTAATTCAATAAAATAAAAAAATACACATATATATACTTTATTAATAATTTTAAAACGATATATATATATATATATATAAAGGGTGTCCCGAAAGTTTTTACCAATCGCTTTTTGTGTATATAGAGCAGACTAAACCGAAAAGTCCTCTTTGCAATGTTCGCAATTGTTAACAAGATATTATTTACTAAAAATTGTCGAATATTGGTCTTGAATAATTTTTTACTCAAATACTATCAACTTTACAGAAAAACTGAAAGAGACAAAAATCATTAATTTTTTTCTCATAGAACTCAAGAATTTTTTTGGAATTTTTTCGGAATTTTTTATCAACTTTTTAGTACTACATTTTCTTATTTTTACCAACATAAGAAAATACGGTATTAAAAAATTCTGAAAAAATTCTCAGTACTTTATGAGAAGAAAATAAATGATTTTTGTCTCTTGCAGCTTTTTTGTAAAGTTGATAGTATTTGAGTAAAAAATTATTCAAATCAATATTTAGCAATTTTTAGTAATTAATATCTTGTTAATTATTGCGAAAATTGTAAAATAGTAGAGGACTTTTCGACTCAACTTAGTTCACTCTATCTACACAAAAGCGATTGGTAAAAACTTTCGGGACACCCTGTTTATAGGTATGTAACATTACCCTAATAACACACTTTATCCGGGATACATCCTAAGAATGTTCAAAGGACATACGGACGTCCTTTGGACGTTCTCAGGACGTCCCCCTGAAGTTGTTAGGGTAATAATGTCTGTGTTGTTAGGGTAATAACGTTTATGATATACCTAAACAGTTTTTTCTTTTTCTTACATACATTACAGAAATAAAAATATAAATTTATGTAAGATTACCATTTGGTTGCCGCTATTACGTTTACAATAGTTTACGTTGAGATTAGGTGTGACGACGGAGAAGTAGATACCTGTAACGACACAACTAGTCCCGAGGTGTCATATTTACGTATTTCAATTATTACTTATGTAAAAAACATATGTATATGTTAAGACGTAGATAACTGTAAGATGTTGTTTAAAATAAGAATTCTGTAGAAATAGTTGAAATTATGATATGGTGAGCAGATTGATAAATATAACATTTAATATATCACTGAATTTTGTTTACTTTTGTCTATGAAAAACCGAAAATATTTTTTATTTCTGAAAATATACTATTCAGTCTGAAATAACTTATTGCAGCATGACCGTGATGTTTTTACGGAAATACTATATTTTTTATGTAATATTATCGTTTGTTATTTTGCAATAATTTTAAATGTAACAACATGTCCCATGTATCAACTATTCCTGGTCTTCCCTAATAATTAGATTACTTGTATTTAGAGAGAAAGGTTTAAATTATGAATATTTTGTTGATAAAAGTGTGAAATGTATGAAAATTTTGTGTAACATTAATTAAGATTAGCTTATTTTCTTATAGGTATAGGTAATATTGATAGTATTCTAAGGTTAATCGAACTATCAAGCTCCAATTTGCTCTCTTAAATGTGTAATATTTATTACAAGATCAATAGGTACGAAAAACACTTCTGGATCAGAGCAGTGCTCAAATGTATTCGACATGAGCTTTGTTCGGGATGGAGAGGGATTAAATTTTGCGTGAAATCCACATTAAGCCAGGTCGGCCATCGGTGGGGGTCGCGGCGCGAGGAAGGACGCAAAAGGGGGACAGAGCGCGACAACACGAGCACGTACCAACATAATTTGTCTAACTGCGTTCGCTCGCACGGTCTGATGGTCAGCGGGATTGCCGTTGGTGTAATTCGGCAACAGCTTGTAGTGGTTCCGAGTCCCATTGCACGGTAACGTGTACTAATGTTCGTGCCCCCGTGCTATCTGGTCGTATTACACCGCCCTGTATAGCTAATCATCGTTAGTGACAGAGACATTG